CCAGGCTCTTTTGCATAACTGATTACATTCAATCACGAGTGAAACTGCCGATAGCTTGTCTGTGCAAACAGCCTTCCTCCAATTGGTTTGTTCAGCATCAGCTGACGTTAGTTACATCAGGCTCGTGATTGGAGGAACTCTGTTTGGGAGACAAGCTATTTCACTCGTGATTGGAGGCTAGCAATAGGAAGAAGCCTCTCTGCAGAAACAAAGTATGGGCAGTTTGGAACCGCGCGATTCTCGGCTGACTTGAAACAAAGTATGGGCAGTTTGGAACCGCGCGATTCTCGGCTGACTTGAAACAAAGTATGGGCAGTTTGGAACCGCGCGATTCTCGGCTGACTTCCTTGAATAAGACGCCCTTCAATTTTTAGGGTAAGGATTTTAGAAAAAAGTATCATCTTATAGTCGGAAAAATACGGTACTTCAATTGTTGAATAGTTTTTCAAAGTGCAAAATACAATGATCACTTCCCAAGTGAATGTTGTAGGTAAGTCATATTTAACACCCAATCTCTTAAGGTCTTTGAAACTACCATTAGAAATCAACAGATGTAAATGTTGATCCCTTGTTTGGCCTGAGCATTCCAGTAAAACATGTCCTCCACTATGTTCAGGTTCAGTGGCATTCAGGTATTGCTGAACTTCACCTCCCAGCATTCAATAGATGGGTTTGGTTGGGAGATTTATTTCAGCAATTTCTGAGGGATCACAAATTGCCCACTCCCAACCTAAGTGAATGAAAATATTAAAACTGTAAGTTAATTATAGCTTGAGAAAGGAGCCAACGTCATTGTATTTCGCCCTTTGAAAAACTATTCAACAATTGAACTAAGCCCATCTTTAACTAGTTGCTATGCATATGGAAACCAATTATTCTTATATTTTTATATAAAACAATATAGTCACCAACATCTTAAATATCAGTTTTATTTTATTAAAAAAAGATACATTCTTGGCAACAGGAATAAATGTATATTGCTTTTTATAAGTCAGCATTTATTCTACAAAAGCAATGTGAGAGATGAAACAAAATGTAAAATATTTGGTTATTAGCTCAAAAATGGTCTGAAAAGCATTACTAGATTTCTAATGACCTGTTATTATTAAAAGAACAAAAGTTATTTTATCTTTAATTAAGGCATTGTGTATTTGAAACAAGCCATAACCATCTCAAATAACTTTTTAAATTTCACAGAGTACTTTCCTTTATTAATTGAACAACTGTTAGCCACTGAATTTCAATATTGTTTCCTAAGGCCTCCTTTAATTGAACACAATACAGGAATTCCAGGCAGTATATTATTCCTTCTGTTTTATCTGCAGAATATCCTTCTTTTAAAAATACAGTTTTTTCTCTTCAGTGCGTGGATTATGCAATCACATTGCTTTATGTCTATAGACTTGGATCCTAAAACAAATGGCAGCACCATTAAGGGCTGACTTCATGGCAGAGATCCAGCCTCCACCGTCAGCCCCCCAAACAATGTCCATGTGAGAGAGGGAAAAATGATGGGGTGGTGGCAAGCCACAGAAAGCTACAAAGCTTTCATGTCAGCTTTAGGAAACTTCCTGAAAGGCAGAGCATTCTGAGGAAATAAATAGGGAAAGTGGTTAAAACAATAAACTATTCCATAACATATCTAGGTTTCAATTAGAAAGAGAAAACAAGAGAAAGCACCAGGGGTATTTGCATCAGGGTCAAAAAAGTCAAGATGGCAGGTACAACTGTGTAATTGAAACCCCACCCCTTTTTAGATACATGTCAAAAGGGGTGGAGCTTTGATCACATGGTTGCACCCACCACCTTGAATTTTTTATCCCCTTTTCTCTGTGGATACCCCTGGAAGGCACTGCTCCTCCTAAATGCAACAGAAGATGCCTCTTTGCTACATCCTCTTTCCTCACCCTCCCAGGCTCATCTGGTCCATTTGAAAGTAATAATGAATATAGGTAAGCTGCAGAGCACCATTGGGCACCACCATCACCACCCCACCAGAGCTCTGGCGAAGTCTTTGGGAACTGTATTTGTTTGTTTCCTTTGAAACCAGGTGGGTATTGAGTAAAATGCCTCTTGTAGGCCCATAGGAAGGATGAGATAAAATGGAGGAGAGAGCTATAGACAAAGAAGACAGTAGCAGTAAGCAGTTGGTTCTTCTTGCTGGGTTGGGGTACCAGTGAACACTTGTTTAGCCTGCTGAAGACCTGCTCTGTCCTCCCCTTCCCTTCCTTTTCCATCCTGCCTTTGTCCTTCCTGCTACTCAAAGAGAGAGGTGTGTGCTGGCTAGTTTAAATTTCTGCTTAGCCTCAGAAGAGGGTGGTGTTTGCCTGTGGCTTTCTTCAAGCTGACACCACTGAATGGACTCAGACACCATGGCATACAGAAAGTAATATATGAGCTACAGTGCTATTTCCAGCAATATCTTTTAGGCAGTGACTTTTGGTCACAGGAGTCAATCCTGTAGCACCTGTCAATATCCTGGCATTGGTCATATATTATCCTGTCAACTTGGCACTCATGGAGCTGCTGGTCATGTCAGAGGTGTAAATCAGTCTTGAATCTTTTAAGCACAAATGAGCCTAATCTTTCTTCTTTAATTTTTGAGCTTCTCATCTATTCTGGCCTAGGAAAAAACATAGAATAGATACCCACAATGGAACTACTTTAGGCAATGGGGCCCTGGTAGGTACTCATAAGTTCCAGTGCTAACACTAGTTCTGTATCTTCTTTATACTGAAAAACACTGTCTAATTCACATTCTTCAGGGAATATAACATTAGATTTCACTAATATGCCCACTTACTATTTAATTAAAAATACCTCATAGTTTTTGGAAATCAGACCATATACACTCCAATTATAAGAAAGAAAACAGATCTATTCTGCAATAATTAAATCATAAGTGGTCCAAACCCTTTATCAGATCATGTAAGGCTGCAGAAGGGAGGAAGGAGGCATTCTGAAAGGAATTCTCCCAATCACCACATGAAAGTTAAAGGAAAATAATCTGGACTTCTTCTGCAAGGTGGAGTAAACTGGCACTAAGATTCAGTTCAAATAATTTTCCCATTCAATTACACTGGCTTTTAGTTCTTAAAAATATATTTCAAAGAGATCACAGCAATTATATTGTATATTTATTTATTGTTTTAATGTGTTGTGAGCCGCCCAGAGTCCCCCATTGGAGAGAGATGGGCAGGGGACAAATTTAATAAATAAATATATAATGGCATTCTAATGGGATTTATGATCTATATTTTACTAAGTCTCTCCCCACTTAAAGTGATCCAGTCAAGAGAGATATAAATAAGCTTAATGTTACCTAGTCAAGTTGTCTAGGCTTAAAAAAAAAAAATGAACTCAGCAGACATTGTCGAGGGTTGAAAGAGACATTTACTTTAGTGGAAGGCTCAACAATGTTCCAGAATACACTTATATCCCCCAAAATTTATCATATTATAAATATCCACCTCATAACTGAAGATGAGTAACCAATTGGCTCACCCAATGGCTCGTTGCTGTTCAACCAGGCAGGGAGTTTTGCCCCCCATCACTCAGCTCAGCACAACCTGTGGGCCTCACACTCCGACTCTAGGATGTCTCCCTCACAGACAGGGCCCTTCACATTGCGAATGATGGAGCGGCTGGTGTGGCCCATGAACTCCATCTGCACCTGGGTGTACTGTCCCTGTGAGCTGGTCTGGCCCAGCACGTTGGTCCCTTGGGCCAGGTTGATGGGCTGCATGCAGCTAGTTTCCAAGGTGGTGGAGGCGGAAGCGGAAGAGGAGGGAGTAACCAATTGGCAATGGCCATCTTACTTCTGATCTCATCGTTTTTTCTGGCCTTGCAATTTGAGGTACAAAGGTATTGATTGGGGGTTGGTGTTTGACCTAAATGGTCATCAACATTTGATCCACTTATCTTAAATGAGTTGGGTGGAGGCGATTTTATGGGAGATTTTACTTTTTGCTATCAAAGGGGTGCTAGTATTATTGATTATTGACAGACCCTTTCATCTACGTAAGAGACTTGTTGATTTCAAAATTGATTTCCACCCTTATTTCAAACATTTTCTTCCATCTTCACTCATTCCTGTGCCTGAAGGACTGATCGTATTCTGCCTTTCTGGGGACAATCAATTTCTGCCACCACCACCCTCAGGAAACCTCTAGTCACAGAGGAACTGATAGTTGTCTGTAGAGAGTAAGCCAGATGACTTTGATAGAAATATACAAGAACCATTGCTTAGGCAAAAGGGGATGAAACATTTTTTAAAATACAGAGAGCAAGATATCATTTGGAAGTGGCTCAGGCAGATACCTTCCTAATTCACTGAATTATATGGAGGAGGAGGAAATACAGCATAATCAGACTTGCAAGTCTCTGTTATTATAGCCAGTCTCAATAAAAGTAGTTTTAACCTTCCCGTGGAGTTGTTTTCCTGGTCTGGTCTACTTACTGCGCTGATATCTGCCTACTTACAGGGGATCATGAATTTCATACCCTTTAGATTTATCATTGTCACTATGGGGATGACAGTGGGGATTGCCAGGTGCACACTATCAAGAGTTTATTATTGCCCCTGATTTATTGTAATCACCAAGGAGCTGGCAGTCTCCTGTCTGCTGAGATTACATCCTACTCAGATACATTCCATTTTATCTGGCATGTCCATGCCACATATAAATTCAATTACCCCCATTCATATCTTTAGGTAAAATGTAGGCTTAATAATCAGGCCAGGATTGCTTGTCTATTTATTTTTTAACTTAAAACTTAGTGATTGATTATAAAAAGTAATTTTATGGAGGATATTGAAAAAAATGTAGCATGGCTAAAGGAGATAATAAGGGGCCCGGAAAGAAAAACCTATTAGAAATGGTTGGTGTCATTAGATAGTTTAGTCTGTGGGAAGACATGATTGCTGAAGCAAGAACAAGAAACATAGGATTTGGATTACAAGGAAGTAAACTGCCTGAGGTAGTGGCAGACTCTACTTCACTTATAGCCTAATGTCAGAGATGCTGCCCTTGCAACCCTTGTATTCTAGGGATCTAAGGATCTTTATTTCTGAAGACCCAGCCAAAGACTCTAGACAAGTGTAAATCTAAGCCCTGATATGATCGGGAATGTGAAGAGGTGACAGTCAAACTAATTTAAATTAACAGGGTCTCTAGGGGATTAGCAGATCACATTTGAGAGTTATACCTCTTGACATAAAATAAAGGGACCTACTCAATCAAAAAGAACAGAAGGTCCACAGGGATAATTGAAGGATAATAATCCATTCAGTTAAAGAGAAGATTCCCCATGTGGAATCAATTCTCCAAGTGATCTAGTGCATGCTCCTCAACAAAATTTGTTAACAGTCCCCCAATAGCAAAAGGTTAAGGGATGAGGGCTTACAAAGCTGATCAAAATTAAATAAATTCTGTAATGTCACCTCATGGCTTAATAGCATAACTAGGGACATCTTTCTTTCTTTCTCTTTCTTTCTTTCTCTCATACACATACACACACACGCACACTGGTTCAAAGCTACAGCAATCTCTTCAGCAATAAAAAAATATTTTATTAAAAAAGGGGAAAGTGTTTAAAATACCCCTTTGTTGCTTCAAGTAGTCTCATGTAAACATACACTGGCAAAGGAGATGAAAATATACAGTTGTTCAAATCCCAGAAAAATGAGTTGAAAAGAATCTTTCCCGGGGAATTATAAAGGACAATTAAGGTTCTGGGCATACACAATATAATATTGATCTGTCCCTAGCTTAGAGAAACTGTGCTGTAAAAAGATTCCATATTGTATAAAAGCACTCAATTTACTGATCATATACAAAGAATATAAATACTAGTATACACTCATGATACAACAAATTAAAATTCTTAGCTATTTTTTCTTATTCCCATAGATAATAGTCAAACCTTGGAACATATGTTATCTCTTTGCCAATGTCTTAACATAGAAAAGTCTGTTTTCTGCAAATTCACCTCTGAGATTGAGAGGTGATCAAGCTCACTGGTTTCCAGACTCACACAGCAACTTCTGTTTGATTTTTAAAAAGAACCACCTTTTTTTCTCTAGCCGAAAGGGAAGAATTATGGGGATCTTCCTGCAGACATGTTCTTGCCTATGAGTCAGGTAAGCATCTTCTCTCAAGAAGAATCCTGCTTGAGACAAGTTGTGTATTCTATCTGCTGTTGACAGTCAGGAGCCCTGTGAAGGCAGGTTTGCTGTACGACAGTAATTTTATAATATTGTTGTCTTGGTTTCAATACTGTTTTATTGTTACAAGCTGCTGGGATCCATACAGATTTTAGTGGCATATAGATGATAGAAATAAATAAATACATAAATAAAAAAGACTCTGCAGTCTTCTGGCAACTTGTATCATATTCTCCCCAAAACTTATTTCTGAATCTGGCAAATTTATTTTTCTGGAGACAGGGGTTGAGTATTTCAGAGCTGCCTTTAAAGTTGGTATCAGTTTTTTCTTGCACTACCACCAGAAGTCTTTCCTGATTAACTGCCAGTGTCCCCATCCAAAGTCTTAAAACTCATTTCACAATGGTTGAAGTAAAACTTAGAGAAACATGATCCCAGCAGAACTAAGAAAAGTGCACATTGATCAGTGAGCTTGGTGGTATCCTCTCTACTTATTCATATCCACCACATCTTTTAGATGCTTATCCAATGGGAATGGAGTAGAGTGGAATTGGTCTATTACAATCCCAATCTATAATAAACTCAATAAATCCAGCCCAACTAATTCTGAGCCAACCCTAAGTATCAGGAATAAATCATATGCAAAACATATCTGTGAGTAACTAGTTGATTCAAGATTATGCTGGCAGAGGAGCAAGCAGACTTCAGAGTGTTCAAACATTTGGTAGCAAACTATTCCCATAATTTTTGAGACATGTTATTAATTTAAAGGTGGCTTTTCATTCCATCCTAAGAGAGAGACTCTGGGGGAAAATGACAATTTTCACCATAGACCACCAATTACTCTACTTAATTACGATGCTATGTGAAAACACTTTTATGTAGGTCAAATGTGCTACAGCCAGAGATTGTTCTGCCTCAGTTCCACTCAGAAATAAGTATTTCAGCTTCCCTTTTTTATTTTTTATATTAATGCCATAGAGTCCTGACCCTATCTAAAAATGAGTCTGATCATCTGATGCTGGCAAACTGACTTTTTCATTTTTGTATATGCTGACAATACAGTTATTCTTTCCATAGCTCTACTTGATTAAGGTTTTATAGTAAAGAAAACAGGTTATTAATTACTCTAAAACTAAAATTGTACAATTCATCAAATGGCATGCAAAATAGCTGGAGAATTAACAACATCAATATTGAACGAGTCAAAGACTTCAGGTAACTGGGAGTTGCCTTTCAAACATCCTTGTTGTGAAAGAAACAAATGAAAGTTGTTTTTACCTGAGCCCAGAAATCTGCCAAAGCAATTTTATAGTTTATCGTTGTGTCCTAGTAGCCCTAAATCTGTTTGAAACCAAGATGATGAGCATCCTACTGTATGGTTCAAAGACCTGCTGATACAAAGATTTGAAACCCTTAGAACTAGTGCCTTCCAAGTTCATTATACCTATTGTTTGAGTTCCTCCATGTGTCCTCAACATACTTTTGTGCTTCGACTCAGGCATAATCTCTCTTCAGGCTCACATGAGATTCTGCCACATCAGGTTCTGGTTAAAAATGGTCTTTATGAAGAGATATTTGACTTCCCTAAACTTAAGAATACTTTGTATTCTCCTGACAAAAGTGTTTGTGGGTGTTAAATGTAGCCTCTCAGTCCCATACTTAGGTTGACTGAGTTCTCATAGAGCCATTGTAGAATTAAAATAGCAGATCCTTGATCCCAACTTCCAGAAAGTTTGGGAGTACTTCCCCCCCAGTATGGCAAAGGAAGCTTGTTTAGAAATCTCTTCACCACTGCCAATCACCTCATAAATATCCTGTCCATCCTGCACAAAGTTCATTCTTTATGGCAAGACTCAGTGCTTTGCCTTCTCTTGTTTAGAAGGGAGATATAACAACAAACCCTTGCATGACTGTCTTTAGCCCCAATGGGGGCAGGGGGAGGCTGAGACAGATCTATATGTTCCACTGCAGCATTCATTCTATCAAGTTTGGCACTCTGATTGAATAATTCCCCTGCTAGCCAGCCATCCTTGTAGATCAAACAAGGAGAATGCAACCTTTCCGCTAGCTGACTTATCAACTGAAACTTCTGGAGAGGTTGCCAAGTTCTGCTCTATTGCTACTGCTATAAGGAGATTTGTGGTTAGATTTGACTTACTATTCCTGAAGTCATCTCTTGAATAGTTCTTACTGCAACTCTCACTGTTTGAGTAACTCAATTAAATTGTATATGGTTGCTTTCTTTTATTCTGCCACTGAATGAATTGTATTGTTTTTTTTTTCTTTGACCATTAATAATAATTATATCATCATTGTTCTAAGCTTTGACTGAAGAGAGTATTTATTATAATCACAATTTTAACTCATTTCCAGTAAACCTGCATGTTGTTAAACAAATGAACAAAAAATCCTTTAGTCTTGCAAAACAGAACATATGACTGGCTGTTTCCACTTTGGAAATGATGACTTAGTATCCCTTTGAAGCCAATTGATTCATTTACAGCAGTTTCTGTTCTTCCAGCAGCATGTAGGGATCTTCTGTTCTACTTCATCAACTACTGAGTTAATGAGATTTTAAAAGTCTGCTAATTACAAAATATCTCTGATAATGCTGTAATCAGAGGAGCACACATTATTGATTCAGGCCATCTGAGACAAAAGTTTAGAAAACTATTTGTTTTTCACCAAATGTATTCCCTCTCTGAACAAAATGGTTCAGTAGCTCAAAAATTGCATTTGAAGACGTATGCATTAATAAAAATGCATACAAACTTGCCTATGTTTCAGGAATGTACGTGCTAAAATGTGCATATTAAAAAAAAGATCAATTCAAATTTCAACAATTAGGGAAAGGTATATGAAAGTACATTTGGAAAATTACCTATAAAAATAAATATGAATTTTCATGCTGTTTGTTTTCTCAAATCATAGAATGACACAGAAATTCGTCAGGTTTAGGTATGAATATGTAGAAAGTTGACACAAATATGACACAAACTGATTTGTACATGCCTAGTAATCTAATTATATCAAAATGCTAAAACAACCTGGATACAAAAAAGCAGAACCCCACATGCACAATAAATATTAATGTCAGATATGAACTCCCTATAGCCAGCCACTACACCCATTGACACTATAGCATTCTTAACTTATCCTTCTTTTCCTCAAGCATGAGAACAGGTTCACCAAGCCCAGAATGTAAACAGATGATACTGAGGAAACTGAGGAAGCAACAGAAAACCTAAGCCACCAAGAATGATGTGAGACTAATACTGGTAGACAGGAGGCATAGAGGGAGCAAAAGGCACAGTAGAGACCAAACAGGACAGTGATGGGGAAGAGGAAGT